TTTTTGAAAAATCTAGGAAAGTAACATACTGAAAATTGTAATGTGTTTTTTACAAAGATGACTTTGTGCTGTTTTTAGCTAGACACTCTAAAAACGAAAGTAATAATAATGAAAAATAAATAAAGAAGACAGGCAGACAGACAACTTCTGGATTCTATTTTCTGGCTGCCATGCCATGGTGCAGATGCTCTGATTTCACGATCACAATGCTTCCCCTCAATACCCTCTAAACAGCGCCAGAAACAGTGAGTTCGTTTGTCCCATTGTGATTTAGGTACTAATTAGCTGGTCAACTCTCAAGTATTTTACACCCACAACAAGAGCGGTGTGGTCCCCATCTCATTTCCCAGCATATCCTAGTATCTTGACTGTCAAACCTTGAGAGAATTTTCTCCCTGCTGATTGCTGGTGCTTACAGCAGTGCTGTTGTGGGGCCGTGGTGGGAGGGCTGGGACTCCAAGGCCGGTTCCCAGCCTGCTGCCACAGCTTGGCCCTCCAACCGGGGAATGGGACCGAGGGCACTTGTTCCACTCATCATGCATGGAGGTAGCAGAACAATCTGAAAGCTTTGAATAATCTCTCCTTTAGCTTTGCCTTCGTCTGCTTTTCAGAGAAAGGGTAAGTGATACGTTACATTCACACAAGATAATTAAACATGATTTAATGTCATCTCTGTAGTCATTGGGACACAGAAGTGAGGTGTGGGGGTAAGCCAGGGGAGAGTGGACAAGTTGGGTTAATGAGAAGCTGGTGCATGCACCCACCTCCTCCTGAAAGCTTTACTTTGCCTACATTACTAACCTTGGGCGGTAGAGTTAAAGGAACCCAGGACCTACACGGGGTCATCAATAAAATGCTCAGTGTGTGATCCTGTGGTATAAAAGCCAAACCTCTTTGGCCCTGAAGCAAAACCAGGTAGGTGTTTCAGATAACATCCAACCTCAATAATCCTTGGAAAAGCCATTAAAAGGCATTCGTAGCCTAGCCTACTTCCTTAGCGCAGTAGGGATTCTTTGGGGAAGGGGAATTGGAAATGGAAATCTCTATGAAAATAGAAAAATAATTATGGGAAAAAAAATTAAGTGCAAAATTAAAAGTAATAAGAGTTTGGAGATGACTTTACAAATGTAAGCAACATTTACTTTGAATATTTAACTGAAATTATGTGCTACATGTTACACAAAAACTTAACTAAATGAGGCACATTTATTAGTTGAACCAACAAATGATTAACCAGGCTACTGTTCAGTTATCTATCATGAAAAAATTGAAAATGTTCATCAGCTCACACTGAGAGTACCATGACATGCATGGGAGGCCTTCCTGTGAGTGCCAAAAATTTGCTTTTCTCACTTAAATATTTTCTTCACCTGAATACATGTGAGAGGAGATAAATATATGGAGAGGAGAATTGAGGTTCCATCTTTGAAATGGGAATTATTTGAGAATTAGGATACCTTAATCAGAAAAAAATAACTTATTTTGCAATATTTTATCACCAAATTTTATAATTGTGGGCAACTGGAAGCATTTATTTTTTGAAAAACAATTGTGTTGGTCTTTTGCTAACACAATAAGCATGTATTCTCTACAAAGCATTCCATAAATGCACAAAATCAAAAAGAATGTAATTAAAGTCCTACCTAATCCCATAGTAAGAAGAGTAAGAAGTAATTACTATTAGTATTTTGGCATATAATTCTCCAGGTATTTCCTATGCATTTATATAATGCTTTGAAAAAATAAAAGTAGAAGCCTACTGTACAAACTGTTTCATAATCTGCCTCCTTCACTCAGCTCTTTATTGAGATTAGTTTTTACATCAAGAAAGCTGATACCACCTCATCTATAATGGCTGTATTGTATTCCATAGTATTCATTACTCAACAAACCATTCTTCACTTGGGCATTTATGTTGTTTCTTAACTGAACATACTGAATAACTGGATAAACATCTCCATAGCCAGACACCTGTGCATATCTTTAATTAGTGCCCTGGGATAAGTTCATTTATATAGCGTTTTTGGGCCGGGGAGTGCACTCAGCAAGGATAATTCTTGACCACATTGTCAACTACATCCCAGAATGCTTGGACCATAGGTATAGGAAAGTGCTGACTTTCCAACTTCTCACCAAGATTGTTTCTCCCTCCCCATATTTTTTGTTTTAAGTTTGGAACTGGTGGCCACCTTGGACTAAACGCCTTCCTTCATCTGTGAACCATCAGCCGACAACATTCTCAATATTTCCAACACTCCAGGCAGCTAGGGAAATGAATGACTGAGAACCTCAGAGGGGGTATATTCAGTACATACAGGGACGGATAGATAGATAGATAATTAGATAAATAGGTAGAGAGATTTCTCGTCTGCTGGGAAAAGCCTAGGCAATCTTCTCAATTTTTTTTAATGAATCAAATTTAATAATACAACCGGTTAACTAGAGAAACTGAAGAATTAGAGTATAGCAGAGCTTCCAATAGATTTTCTCTGCCCAGCCTCCTTTGAAGACATACACAAACTTACATAAACAGCCTTAGTTCTTACTTTCCAGTTCTAAACCAATGCAGTCTGACCACACGTAGGCTTTCTGTCTTCTGTCTTCGGATACCTGGAAGATTCTCTATTATATCCTTCCCACAAAAACCCATGACTTGTATTAGCTTGAGGGTGTTTCTGTTTGGGAGAACCAGTCCTTGAGTGAAAAAGAAGGGCATAATTTTACCCCAAGTTTCTACCTGCTGTTAGCACAAGTTCAAAAAGCGAGAATGATTATTTGGATTCATGCAATGAAAAAGTTGAAGGGGACCTGAGAAGTCATGATCTAGCTTGTTGGAGAAAGGCTTGTCTGATGTCTCACCCACAGCTAGAGAAAGATCTGGGCCCCCAGAGTCCATGAATTTTAATTTACCAGGCCAAAGTGCACTGACTTTTTGGTAACATAATCTGGCCTGTTAGAGGAAATATTCATTTATCACCATAGAAAGAACAGTAAGAAAACAAATTTCTGCTTCTGGTTATAGCCTGATATATGCTAATACTGAGCATGTTTCCTAGTGGAAAATGCTTTTTGAAAAGCATTTTATCCTGAGAGATGTATTAAGTCATAGTGAAAAGCATGACAACCAAAAAGTTTAGTTAATTGTCACCTTTGTGATTTA